CATCATAATTATTTACTCTGATTGCTAAAAATTCAAGTAACTTGGTTTTGGCAACGCTCATCTGTACTACTAGTTCCAAGACACTGCTAAGGCATTTTCTGTATCCTGTTCTCCAGTGCAATCTACTTGAAAAAGTAGCGTTAAAGCTGCTTCAGATCGTACGGTGCATAAAGTTGTTTTTATATGATGAGTCAGTAAGTAGGCAGTTGACAATTTTCAAACTGTTAAATAATCCCATGTTAATGAAATAAGACCTTTGTTTACAAACCAAAGTTACAGTTTAAGGTGCTGCTCATTTTCAGCAAGGTGCATATTTTAAACAGGTATGACCTATTAAATGTATATCTTTAATAAAGCAAATAGTTTACTTTTACAGAAGCTTTAAATACAAAATGTACAGTTCCAGTTCAGAAGCATTAGCTATTCACAAGAAGCACTGCAATAAGGGTAAGTTAACTAAGCACCAAACCCTTGCACTTGGCAGTGTAAGTGAAGTTTAATGGCAAGACTCATTTGCCAAGTGCAACAATTCTTAAAATTACCAGTGTTCAGAACAATCGGAAGCAAAGGACAGAGTAGCACCTACGTGGTCAAAATGCAGACAAAGGTCGTTTCTTTTCGCAATTCACTTCTGTAGGTCCAGAAACTTGCCAGCATTTGTAATTACAAATAAACTGCAAAAACTGTAGCAATAATTTTGGCACTTGTTAGAAAAAGTTCAAAATTAAGTGTTTTCATTAACTTCCATTTTGGTCTTAGTATGAATAACCAGCAAGTACAACCAAATTTAGGATTTAATATTAGATCTAAATGACAGGGTTTAGGAAACTCAAAACCATTCATCAAGTTAAATAACCACTAACATTTTCAGCAGAGGGTTTTCAAAATTATAGTAGTACAGACCATTAACAATTTACAGACAGAAGCCACACTGATTGTGCAAAGGACATTACTGTAAAAAGTCTATGTACAGCAAACAAATCTTTGTAAACATGGTAAGTATGAAGTTTCAGAAAACATGGTGACAATATCATAAATACAGGCAACATTGGCATCCTCAAACAGCACAAAAGGTAACAATCTGGGCCTGCAAATATAGCCCATCACCATACAAACAGAAAAGGTGGATGGGTTTTAAATACCCAAGTGTTTAATAGTTTTAATGTTGTGTATACTTTATATATATATATATAATGTATTTATTTTTTGGTATCTTTAGATATAGATGTACTTAGTTTGTAAAAACAAAAACAACAAATGTGCTTTATCTTCATTGAAAAATTATGTAGTTAGAACTAATAACCCATTTTACTAGTAGTTAACATATTAGAATGATATGACTTAAGAAAAATACAAAAATAAGATTAATACTGTCAAAACTCTTATACCAGAAAATATTGTGGTTTTTAGACTCTTTCAAAGATGAAATATGAAAATTTAAATAAGCTCTAACTATATAAAGAATCTTCTGTAATCTCAATTAATATACAGTGGGATAGCTATACATATATTTACCATTGTTCTTCAATTTTTAAGCACCAGTCACTCTCCCGGATCCACTTTGGTTGGAAGATGATTCCTAATTCCACAGGTTCACTTAATGGCACATATTGACTGCAAATAATTACTTTATCCTTTTAAAAAAAATAATGTTCTTTTAACTAACTGCTACCCCACGTTTCAGTTTAGTATCTTCTGAGCCAGCTCACAATTTTTAGTCAACTGTAGCATCTGAAATAAGACTTTAAATATATGCAAGTAGTCTTTTAGGCTATACTTTCACACACTTAAGGAGCACTGTGTGGATAATGCCTTTGGCCAAATGAAGCAGTAAGAAAGGGTGTATTTATTGAAAACCAGTGTCATATTGTCCACACAGATGCCATCTACTTTAAGCAGCTCAGATAACATTTGTGACACAAGGTTGAGTGGTTCTGCTGATCTTGACTTAGAGTAAGGAAACTCCCACAAAACTCCATTCGCAACCGTTTCTGCAACAGTTCCATGATGAACTCACTTGTGTGGCACACGAAAAGCTGCTGTTGCACTTCATTTAAAAAAAGCCACCCACAGGCCATTTATGAAGAATACAAAGGCTTTACAGCTTGCCCATTATAAACTTAAACACAGTGTTGAGCAAAGTGACCGCCATATATTTGCTTCAACATATTCAATGTGTTTCAGTAAGATGTTTAACTATAAATCTATATGAAAAATAGCTATAAAATACAGTGTTTCTTGTATGGTAGTCCTTCAGCAGTTCTTTTAAAAAAAAGGTTTTGAAAGTAAAGGCAATATACACATTTTTAAAAGCATTTCTACATCACAGTTTTGGGCTGTTTCATGTACATCAAACAAACATATTGGCCATATTTGCTCAGCACTGTAAATCAGAATTCAAGAGTTTGTATATCTCACCCAAACACCCTTAATTCCATATTTAACGAGATAAACAGGATATAGCCAATACACAATTGTGAAACAAAATATATGTAATTTATATTTGGCCCTGTGCTGCATTTTCCAATATGAAAAGCAATTAGTACTGATGCAGGTAAGATGGTCTGCGTTCGTGCTTTACTGGAAAAGATTTAAAGCCCTTATTCATCTGTTTGTGCTGGGAGGCCTGTTGTTGTGATTGCTGCTGCTGCTGCGC